CGCAAGGTGTCGTAAACCTCTTCAATATCTGAAATATGCTGGTCCACCCATTTGCTCTTGACCACCATGTCATCAACGTACGCCTCCACATTCCTTCCTATCAAGTTAGCAAAGACTTTGTCGATGAGCCTTTGGTATGTTGCCCCTGCATTTTTCAAATCGAAAGGCATGACCTTATAACAGTATATGGTGGAATCGACCATGAATGATGTCTTTTCTTGATCTTCCTCGGCCATGAGGATTTGATGATAACCAAAAAATGCATCAAAGAAGTTGTATAGCTTATGTCCAGATGTGCTATCCACCAAGTTGTCAATCCGCGGTAGGGGATAACTATCCTTTGGACATGCTTTGTTAAGATCTGTGAAGTCAATGCAGACCCTCCACTTACCATTGGCCTTCTTTACTAAAACAACATTGGCAAGCCAATCGGGCTATTGGACCTCCCGAATGAATTGAGCACTGACGAGTTTGTTAATTTCTTCGTGAATGACCTCCCGACGTTCTGGGGCAAACTGTCTTTTCCTCTGCTTTACTGGTCTGGCCCCTGAGCTAATGTTTAGCATGTGGAGTGCAATTTTGGGGTCTATCCCTGGCATATCCTCAACCTTCCAGGCAAAAACGTCAATGTTGCGAGATAAGCAACAAATAAGTTCTGTCTCTAGGGTGACGTCAAGATCCCGACCAATCGTCACCTTCTTATCATGCTCGAGCTCGATTTTCATCAATTCTTCAACAGGAGCAAGTCTGACTTGTTGCTCGGTCTTGGGCTCCGTCCTCGAGATTTGCATGACATCGTTATTTATTTCCCGAACGCTGGCAACATAGCATTGTCTGGCAGCTGTTTGGTCTCCACGCACGACCCCAACGCCATTACTTGTTGGAAACTTCATGGCTAGGTGGAAGGTAGACCCAATGGCTTTGATCTTGTTCAGGAGTGGTCTTCCTAGAATAGCATTATAGGCTATTGAGACACGTACCACTTGAAAAGATGTCATCTCCGTAACCTATTTCTGGCCAGAACCCCAAGTTAGAGGAAGCTCGACGATACCCTCTGGAGTGATGACTCCTCCCCCAAACCCCTGGAGAGGAGTTTTAACCGCTTTGAGTTGTTGAGATGAGATTCCCATTTTGGCAAAAGCCTCTTGTGAAAGTATATTGGCCACACTCCCGTTGTCAACCAAGATTCTCTTTACTTCAAAATTGGCCACAATTGCTGAGATGACCAGGGCATCATCATGTGGAAGTGATACACCTTCCAAGTCCCTGGTTCCAAAAGTAATATCCTCCAACTTTCCATGAGGCATCCCAGAGGCCAAGGTATATTGTCGGGCATATTGTTTTCTTCCACTGTTCGAGTCTCCTCACAAGGCAATACCCCCAATGATGATATTGATGGTTCTAGCAGTGGGTTGACCATCCCTTTTTTGCTTCAGGGGCTCTTTTCCTACCACGATCATTCCTCGAGCGTTTGTCGTTACCGACGTAGGAACTTAGGAGTCCTCTTTTAATAAGGGCTTCAATCTCCCATTGCAGGGCCTTACAGTTTTCTGTGGTATGCCCATGATCCCGATGGAACTCACAGTATGTGTTCATGTCCCTGATTCGGGTGGTGACCTCATTCTGGCAGGCCATTTGAGTTCCTTTATATCCTTGATCTCCATCAATATATTTGTTTTTGATGTATTTAAATGCGTGAATGACGTCGAGGGAACCTACTGTCTCTGTTTTCTCCGAGGTGGTTCTTGATGGGGGTTTGGGTCGTGCTGTCGTTTATGCTTGACCCTATCATGGGATAGTCCAACCTTTCTCGGGTTTAGTGTCTTCTCCACATTTATGTACTTCTCGACTCGGGTAAGAAGCTCGGTCACTGTCTTTGGCGGACTTTTGGATAACGACATCTTGAAAGCCTCATACTTTATGGCATATGTGAGGGTAGAAACTGCTGCAGTTATATGTAGGTCGGGAATCTGAAGTCTTTCCTTGTTGAACTTGGTCATGAAGTCACGTAGGGTCTCATTTTGCCCTTGTCTAAGTTGCATGAGGAAAGCTGCTGTCTTCCTGATGCGTTTATTGCTTGAGAAGAAAGCAGAGAACTTGTTCGCCAAATTCGAGAATGAGGCTATGGAGTTGGGCTCTAAGGTCGAGAACCAATCCCTAGTAGCATTCATCAAAGTTTGCGGGAAGGCCTTGTACATCACCTGATCCGGTGCGACCTATAGATTCATGACGTTCGTATATACATTAAGATGATTGATTGGATCGGTGGTCCCGTCATATTCTTTGATCTTAGAATACTTAAATCTATCTGGTAAGGGGAATGTCAATATCTCGGAAGTAAAGGGAGTATTGGGACTGAATCTTATTGACCCTTTGTTGCCCTGAAGTAGGCCCACCGTAATTCCTTCTTGAATAATCCTAGCGAGTTCTCCGGACTCCATGGTCACTGATCTCGAGGCCGAGGTCACATGTGGTATGCCTGAGGCCCCTGCTTCGCTATTGTCAGGGACATGAAAACCTCCCTCGGGTGTCGGTGTGGGTGACAGATGCGAATTTCTTTGACTTAGCAGCTGAGTCAGTGTGGTGACATGTTGTCTGAGCTCTTCAAAGGCTCCGGTAGTGACGACTGCCGGCTGGGGCTCTGGCACTTCTGATAATTCCTCTTGAAGAACAGGGATATCCTTAGGAGGAGGTTGGTTTGGAGCGGATGAGCTTGCTGGTGGAAGACCTAAACGTGTGTTTACCATGGCTTTTGGTAGCGTTTCCCACAGACGGTGCCAATGATGCTACCAAAAATCGTACCTGAGCAATTTTGAGCTGGACGACTGATGACGAGCACAAACGTGATCTTTCGGTACCTGAAACAAAGGCGTCGAGGTGTGTCCTCGTTGCCCCTCCGATGCTTAAGTCAGAGAGAGAATATGTACGTAAGGCTATGAATTGAAAATTATGTAAAACGTACCTGAATAATGATTAAGGGATTTTTATTTATAGAGGTAGGTGGTCTGTTCGTACTAGGATTCCGTAGTGCATTTGTAATAGGACAGCTTGATTTTGCAATCTTATACCATTGAGTCCTACGCGAGATAGGAGTTTGAATTGTGGTATAACTGGGATACCAATTATTTAATAGAGTTCTTCTTGGCATAGGAGACATAGGTCCCGAAGACATGTCAAATGACGTTCCACAAACTCTCGGGTCAAGAGCTCGGGCATGTGAAAGACATCCCGAGCACATATATCCCGAGCATACTGATACACAAAATGACGAAATAGAGTCCTCGGGTTTGTATACGTCGGGAACAATATTTGGTAACATCATAGATCAAAGATGAAAACAAAGCTACATAAATATTATCAACTAAATAAAAAATAATAACATGATATCGAAACATCGTTCCGTCTAAAATAGAAACAAAAAGAAAAACAAATCATATACAAGTGAACATTATGCTTGAAAAATGTCACAAATTAACCGGGTAGGTTACCTATTTCGCATCCCATTATTTCTTCTTGTGTTTTTATCTTCTCAAGAACAGCGTTAAGGAGGGTTAGAAGCAATTCTGGTTCTTTAATTGACAATTTCAAACAACAGATTGTAGAAATTGGTTCAAATTATTAACCAAAAATTGGAAAATGAAAAGTATGTAAAAGTGGAAAATGAAAAGGTGTGACTATGTGTCACCTTCGATCAAATATTCGGACTTGATTCGATAGTCAAATTAAAAAAATAAATAGACCAACTTATTCTACTCGTCGAGTAGATCGTCGTAGCATATTTGGAATCTCGAAACCAATTCTGGATGAATGAAAAATTGAGGACCAAAGTTGGAAGAAATGAAGTGTTGCAACTTTTCGAAGTTTTGGCCAAGTGTTGAAACTTTTTTAAAATGATGCATGTTTTGGTCCACATTACTTCATTTGCACCCTTTCTATATCTATAAATAGAACCCTATGGACATGGTTTTGGGTACACCAATTGCATTGAGCATTCATTCTCCTCTTACAATTCTCTCCTTTCTAATTCCATAGCATTTAATACATTTCCTTTGTGGAGGGAAAATTCTGTCAAAAGTTCGTTGGTTTCTTATGATTTGAAGTGTTGCTACCACAAGTTGTGAATCTATTGTATCTTGGGAGACAAGTACCATTCACCGTGAACACCGTAGCGGGGTAATTTGTCTTAAGGAAATAATCCTTATTTTGCGTAATCTTTATACCGAAACTCTGTCCAAATTTTCATTCATATAAATTGTGTTTCGATCATGCTCTTGTGGGTTAAAACTGGTCAAATAAATATATAAAAAACAGCCCTTACATAGCCCTTTTTATAAGTCGTCTCCAACAATCTTAAGACAAATTTTGTGTCTGTGATTGGTTGTGGACAACCATTACTTTGTTTGAATAGTGATTTGTGTACTATTCCTCCACCGATATTATCATCATTTTGTTAAACTTCTATTTGTGTAACAGAAATGACTACCATCTGGATTTCGTCAAGTCAAAATGGTTCCAATAATGTGGTACCACCCGTGGCCATACCGTTGCATAACACTACTATCCCACATGGGAAAAAGTCGAAAAAATTTGCAGGAGTAGACTTCAAGAGGTGGCAACAAAAGATATTGTTTTATCTCACCACTCTTAATTTGGCTAAATTTCTAAAGGAAACTGCACCGGCTGTACAAGAAGGGGAAAATAATCGTGAATCGATTATTGCTTTGGATGCATGGAAACACTCGGACTTCCTATACAAGAACTATATCCTAAATGCATTTGATAATACACTATATGGGGTGTATAGTTCAAAGGAATCAGCCAAGGAACTATGGGATTCTTTGGAGACAAAGTACAAGACCGAGGATGCCGAAACAAAGAAGTTCATTGTTGGCAAATTTTTGGACTACAAGATGGTGGATTCCAAAACTGTAATTAGCCAAGTGCAAGAGATTCAAATCTTGTTGCACGACATCTACGCCAAGAAAATGGAATTGAATGCATCATTCCAAGTGGCTGCCATTATTGAGAAACTCCCTCATATGTGGAGAGATTTCAAAAATTACCTCAAGCACAAATGCAAGGAAATGAATTTGGAAGAATTGATTGTGCGCTTGAGGATTGAAGAGGACAATCGGAAAACCAAACGAAGGCCGATTGATCAAGATGGTGTAAATTTTGTTGAAATGGAACCAAAGGCAACAAACAAGAAACGAAAGGCTCCTAATTATGCACCGCGAAGAGACAATTCCAAGAAGGCTAAGAAGTTCAAAGAAAATTGTTACAACTGTGGTAAGACTGGACATCGTTCAAGTGAATGTCGAAAACCAAAGAAGAATGCACATGGTTGCAAATAACACTCTATCCGATGGACTGTAAGAAATGAGTTTATCTACAGTAGTGTTTGAATGCAACATGATTGGAAATACTAGAGAATGGTGGATTGACATCGGCGCTACCCGCCATGTGTGTGTGGACAAGGGGATGTTCTCCAACTATCAAGAATTGAATGGGGAACAACTATACATGAGAAATTTTGCAAGTTCCAAAGTTGAAGGACAAGGCAAAGTCACTTTGAAGATGACATCCGGGAAAGAACTCGTCCTCAACAATGCCCTATATGTGCCGGATATAAGAAAGAATTTAGTGTCCGGGTCTCTACTTAGCAAGAATGGTTTTAAACTTGTATTTGTATCCGATAAATTTGTGTTGTCTAAGAATGAGATTTATGTAGGGAAAGGATACATGTGTGATGGAATGTTCAAGTTGAACGTTCTTACAATTGTACCGAAGCAAGTTGTTATAAATAAAACTATAAATTTCGTTTACTTGCTTGAACCTTCATGTTTGTGGCATAGTCGATTAGGACATGTGAATTATAAATCATTGCGCAAACTAATGAATCAAAGTTTAATTCTGGTGCATAAAATCAATCCTAATCATAAATGTGAAATATGTGTTGAAGCAGAATTGGTTAAAACACCGTTCCATTCAATACAAAGGAACACAACCCCTCTTGAATTGATCCATAGCGATATATGTGATCTAAAATTTGTACAAATTCGAGGTGGTAAGAAATACTTTGTGACATTTATTGATGATTGTACAAAGTTTTGCTATGTCATTCTTTTGAGAAGTAAAGACGAAGCCTTAGATGCATTCAAAACCTATAAGGCTGATGTTGAAACACAACTTGAAAAACGAATAAAAAATATTCGTAGTGATAGAGGAGGTGAATATGGGGCACCGTTTGAAGACTTTTGTTCTGAACATGGAATTGTTCATCAATCAACGGCACCTTACTCTTCTCAATCAAATGGTGTTGCAGAACGTAAAAATTGAACACTTAAAGAAATGATGAATGCCATGTTAATAAGTTCAAGTTTACTACAGAACATGTGGAAGGAGGCTATTTTAACGGCAAATAGTCTTTTTAATAAAATACCTCTTAAGAAAATGGAAGAGACACCATATGAACTATGAAAAGGCCATTCTCCATCCTACCAATACTTGAAAGTGTGGGGGTGTTTGGCTAAGGTTGAGGTACCTAAACCTAAACAAGTGAAAATCGGTTCTAAAATGATAGATTGCATATTTATTGAATACGCCATTAAGTAGTGCATATCGATTTCTTGTAT